ACACAAACCAGTCTGTATCTAAAGGTGGTTGTTCCACCTTTAATAATTAATTATTATTAATTTTATTAATAGAGGCACTAGGGATTGAACCCAGGATCTCTTGCATTCCAAGCATGGGCTTTATCGCTGAGCTATACCCCCCGCCCCTTGAAGTCATTATTTTTTTTCTGATGAAAATTTTTAATTAGGGCATTTTTATTTTTTCAAACCAAAAGTTAATATATATAGATTTTTTTTCTTAAATCAGGGTAAAAATGTAAGTTAAATATTCCTTAATAAAGGCTGGAAGCTGTCCTTTCCCCCTCCCCACTTTAGGAATTTATGCTAGCACCTTCCATGTACCTTAGCAAGCCATGGGTGCATGCACGCACACACACGTACACACACGTACACATGCACACAGTGGGTATAAAAACATGAATGCATAAACACTTTCACACACAACCACAACCATGTGTGTGCAGACTTCCAAACACATATATGCATAAGACTTAATGGGATTCCATATGGACTGCATCTCACATCCTCAGCCTTGCCCTCATCTACCTACTTCCCTCTGTTCTCCCCAAAGCTGATGTTTTTGTGGAAAAATTTCTGGGTGTCTTCTTGTTGCTTTATGTTCCATCCTGAAGACCCTCCCAGGGACTCTGTCTCATGGAAGAGCTGCCCTTTTACTAAAATGTATAGAAATTGTATTGAATAATTTCAGCAAACAGTTGCTTGTCAAGTCAGCCATGAAAACTTCAAACAGTTTCACACAGTGTGTTTTAGCTTTTATCTATGTCAGTAAAAAAAATAGTTCGTTCAAGATTTTTGTGTACCTGTTTAAAATTGTAGCTCTATCCTGAATGGTGGACAAACGTGTGGCAGCTAAGATTCTAACTGTTAATCTCTTTTTGATGTCTGTTTCCAGTTTCAAGTGTGTGGGAATCCTCATTTCAACACCATTAAGGATCAAAGTTCAAGACAGAATAGTTCCTGTTAAAACTACTGGGTCAGTTTACAGACAGCAGGGTCACTGCATTGGCATTTGATCCCAGCACAGTTGCAAGATCATTCCTTTGAGTTTTCTCTGCTGAGTTGTACTTTAGGTACATTTTTTAAAGCTTATAAGTAAGCAGTAAGTCAACAAAAATGTAAGAAATATCAAGGGAGCTATAACTGTCTTAACTTTATTTCAGTGAAAAGCATTTGGCCAACAGTTAATTCCTCAGCAAGAAAACAAGAACCCTGACTAGCGATTAAATGCAGTTTCACTATAGAGGATTTGGGATGAGATTAGGAGAGTCTTTGAGGGATGAGAAAACTGACCTGTGCCTGCCTGCACTTGGGGGGTCTAAACACGGTAGTTTTCTGCATCATTCATTGCTGTTTTCTCTTTCTCTCCTAGGAGTCTCAACAAATGCTTGGAAGACTTATCCCAGAAAAACAGATACTCAATGACCAATTAAAACAAGTTCAGCAGAACAGTTTGCACAGTAGGTGTTTAATTTTTAAGGTTGACATTTTCCTTTTTTTCCTGGCAAGAGTTTCCTTAGTTGAAATGAGAGCATGAAAAGCCACTTTTCCTCACTGCTCATTTGTTTTTCCTTCTTGCAATGTTTTTCTGAAATAGGAGATTCACTTCTCACACTGAAAAGAGCCTTAGAAGCAAAAGAACTAGCTCGGCAGCAGCTCCGAGACCAACTGGATGAAGTGGAGAAAGAAACTAGGTCAAAACTACAGGAGATTGATATTTTCAACAATCAGCTGAAGGTAACTATTCTGTGTGCAGCCTACATGTACCTGCTACTCCTTCACTTTTCTAACTGTCCAGGTGATTAGTTGATACTTGTTCCCAGGCAGAAAAATATATTGTGTTGGTTTGTCAGCCTTTATGAAAGCCTTCACACTTACGGATGAATACTGAACAGTCCAAGTTGAATTTTTTCTCCTTTAAAATATGAAAATGGATTTGGCATCTCTAAATTAGGGCTGAGTGAGAGGCCCTGTCTCTTGGCATCTATCTTTTACCTGAGTTACATTTTTACACATCCCCATCCTTTTTGGCTGTTGGGAACTACATCAAGTTGAATTCTAAAAGCTAGGCTCCAAAAGCTTGATCTTTGAAGACAACTCAGAACGAACTGTTGTCTCTTTTAAAACCTAAAGTTTTTCTGCCTCTTCTTACCTTCAAGATTGTCCTTGAATACAGATCTATATTTTGTTACCTCACATTTAAAAGTTTTGTTGCCTAATGGAGTAATTGCTTCTGTCTCCATGGCAGAAGTAGTGTATGGTTTTGCCATATTTACACAGTAAAACCCAGGGAAATGCCAAAGCTCTTAGGGAATGTAGCAGGGGTTAGATCACAGCCTTTTTCTGATTTGATACTTTTCATTTAACTTTATGACTTTATCATCTTAAGAATGATAATTGTCTTGTAATAAAACTGGAAGGTGCACAGCTCATTTCCTAGCAACAGTGATCACATACTTTAGATTAAAGTAGTTATTAGAGTTTTTAATCAATTATGTTCTGATAACAAATTGGATTTTACACTTTTTTTCCTCAAATATTTTCTTTTTCCAGCCTAAAATCCTTTATACTTGATTCTGGCCAGTTTAGCTTTTGGCACTAGGAAAAAGTTAAAATCCTGTTCTTCATTAGTAGAAATAGAAAAACAAATCAGAGAGCATATTTGAGATTTTTAGTTGACTTTTGAATTGAGATTCTAGGCCAAATTGTCTAGACATCTGAGCTAGTGTTTGTTTTTTTGTTTTTTTTCAAAGTAGTAAGTAATGAACTTTCCTCAGTTGTACAATTTCAGGAAAGTGATCTTAGGGGAAATATTATTTGAGCCAACTTAGTGTTTTGGAGATTTTTTGTCTTCATGCTTATACAGGATGTGTGTTTGTGTGTGTGTGCACTATATATATATGTTCTATATTTGTACACATGTGATGATGTGTCATAAGTCAATATTGAAAGTACTGCTGTCAGTTCTCCTCTTCTGGAATAAACACGATAGAAATCCCTGCATTAACTCTATGGCTTGTCACTATTTCAAGCAAAAAAAGTATGGCACTGTTGCAAGCTTGTAGTCCTTTTTAACAGTCTCTGGGAATTAGACTGTTAGGTATTCAGGTTATCTTCTGAACCCAGGTAGTAATTCAGATTTCTGCCTTAATCTTAAGATTCCTTTCTCTAAAAGTTTGACCCAAAACAAGATTTATGTATGAGAAAATGACACTCCGGTGGGTGATTTTTGATAATGCCCAGATGATTTACAGATTATTTTGGCTGTTGCATTACTATCGTCATTGCTAAAGAGAACATCCTTAAAATATGCTGTGAGTCACTCTTACTGTGTTTAATTGACTTATGCTACCTTCAGTATTACAGTCTCTCATACAAAGGCTAATTTTTTTAGCCCTTTGTCTCACTAGTCCTTTTTCCAAATATACTTATTTTTAAATAAGAACATTTCTTTCTGCTGTAATTTTTATTTTGGTTTTTCATTATTTTAAATTTAAGTCAGTATGGCTATATTATTTTGTTATTTAAAACTCATTTGGAGGACCTAGTGACTATGTTATGTTACCTTACGCTTATTATTTCTAGTATTCCTTTCAAATCTGTTAAGACCAAAACAGAAACAGACTGAAGAATCAAAAGATTTATAATTTGAGACAACTCAGAGGCAGATTTAAGATTTGACCTTTTGGGTATCTCCTGCTTTCTTTTCTTCATTGTAGTCACATTGGAGAATATGAAGCCTTTTTATTCTTGACTTTAGAGCGTGTATTCATTAGCAATTACAGTATCTTGTAAGATGAAATAGACCAGGAGAGCCAGCATTCTGACCCTTTGGGGTTTCTCCCATGCTTGTCTTGATTCAGCAGTGTCTTTACAGCACCCTCACTAATGATGCAACAATTACTCCTCCCTTACTGAGAGTAAAACAGTGGCAGCTGTGCAGTCATCCCACACATTGAATCTGATGATGTGAATTTGCTAAACTTCCCTCTCCCAAAGGGAAACCAGCCCGCAGGGTATAGAAAAGAAACTAGATTGTTCATCTAGGGAAAGAAAGTTTAATTCACTCATTATCAGCTAGTATGGTGACATTGGAGGAATACCTTATGGAGTGCAAAGGTTTAAAATCAGTTGGTCGAAACATTAAACCTATATTCAATGGCTGGCACCATAAATGAGGACTACATTCAGCAAAATCCAACTCTCAGTTTCTTTGGTACAAAACTACTTACAATAAGCCATTCACTTCTTTTGATGCACACTAAAGGTCATGTCCAGTTTGTCAAGTATAAGGTCATGTAGGGAACAGTAACACCCTGCTTTAGCCCAGATTCTCAAGTATGAGACCATGATTGGGAACTACACTTGGATTTAGTTTCTTGAATGAGAAATAGTTTTTCCTTTGTTTCTTTGCTTTTTTTTTTTCAGTGTGCAGTCTGGTTTAGTCTATCTACCAGATGTCTAGTTCACATTCATTCTCTTGAGAGTCTCTCCTTTTTCCTTCAGTTAAGCAAGAATTACACTTATGCCTCCTCACTCATAATAACTAGTAATGGAAATGCTCAAGTCATTAACTGAAGAGGGAAAAAAATTACTTTTGCAGTTGGGTATTTGTTTCATATTGGTAGCAACATACTAAGAATATAACACATATTTATAGTGTTCTGATCAGATGTTATTCAGGGCTGTGGAGCATAAGGTCTCTAGAATCTTGGACCTTTACATTTCTGTCTGATCTCATGGAAGTTGAGAACTCTTTTTTTCCATTTAGAAAAGGCTATTTTTCCATGCAATTTAGTAGACATTTACCTTATAGATACGATATTTATGTTTTCCAAAAATGATCCCAACACATAAGTGTCTTTCTGACCTATCACCCAAAACCAAGAATTACTTGAAAAAGGAAACAGGGTGAATAAACCTGGCTTTTTTAGGTCTGTAGAAAAGAGGGGAAATAAGAGCACTTTGATGTTGAAGCTTTTATGCTAGAATTCCCATCGATAGCCTTTGTATTTTCACTGCCTTTTATGTGAACAGTAAATTTTAGTTTTTTGATGATCAAATGAAAAATCTGACCAGCGTTTTAACCAGGAATAATTGATTTTGTTAGTAATTATTGCTAGTATGAATGAACACTTCTTAAAGTAGTTTTAATTCAGTGGGCCAGATTTTCTGCTTTTTAAATATACTCTATATGCAGCAAGTAATTTATCATGCTGGGGAATCAATAGTCTTGTATTCATGTTCTAGAAACATCAGTTTAAAATTAGCGATTATCTATGACTTTCTCTTTTTACCTCATTTTACAGGAAAATCAAACATTTTTTGGAGAATTCATAGAGTCATTCTGATAATTATTTTTCTTACATACAGTGCTGAGCTATAGGTATAAAATTGTGGTCTAACAGGTGTCAGACACCATTACCAATAGGGACTTTTTGGACAGCAGCACTTGACAACACCTTGCCTTTGGCAATGTTAGTAGTTACTGTAAGTTTTCCTTGGCACTGATAGCTTAGTGTTCCATATTTTAATATGCTAACTATGATAACAAAGGAGAAACCGGAAGCACAGCTTAGAGATTTCAGAGTTCCATTGAGACTCCACACAGAGACTAGATGATGTGTTTCGTGTTGAAAAGTTGAGTCCTTGTCGGTTCCCGTCTAGTCGCTGTGCAGGACAGGTCCTAGCGTGAATGCGTTTACCTTAGAGCATTTCTTTCTTCCAGTCAGTGGCAATGGAGGGAGGCAGCATGGAAGTGCCTGGCAGTCCTCCTGGGCTGTGTCATCCACTTAGACATCTTTCTAAAGGTCTCCATGCCCTACTCAGGCAGTGCACATCTTAGACTCAGAATGGTGAACCATCTTCAGCTCTGTGCTTCACTTTCCCCCACACAGATGAGTGCTCAGTGTCTAAGACAGCATTTACCATGAAGCACTAAGCCTTCTTTGTACAAGTTAATAATGATTAGTTATCATAAATCGTGGAGTATGAGTGAATCTTTCCTCTTGACAAATTTTGTGTGTGTGTGTGTGTGTGATGGAAGCATTGAACTACAATCTGGATAACGTACTATATACTGTAGTCTTTATAACAAGCGTATTTTAGATCATGAATTTGCCATGTGGCTGCATAATTTGAAAGACAACACTTAGTCATTATTTGGGTTGATATGCATATTTCCATCATCAGATAGTACAGTCAGCATTACTATTCCAAAAGTGAATAGTACTTTATGTCTTAGAAAAATGTCACTATTTAAGACTAATTCGAAATTAAGAGTTGTATTCCTTAACATACTTGGGAAATAAATGACTTGTTAAATTAGACACAAGAGGATATATAAATATATAAAAGAAATATAAATTCTGCCCGTAATGATACCTGTCCTAAAAATTGCTCCTAGGAACTGAATTGTTGAAATAAGAGTGCCAGTTATAGTAAATAAGATTCTTGGCTTAACTAAGGCTTTTATGCTCTTGGTTTCAGAAACTTGCTTTCATGGCAGGCTCATTCATTATGAAGGCAGTGAAAGGCAAAATGTTTAGCAACCAGGGGAGCAAAGAAAAGAGCTGGAGAAGGAACTGCAGAACAGAATGAGAAGTCAGGGAAAAAAAAATGCATGCGAAGGGAAACAAGGAAGGAAAGAAAAAGATCCAGAAAGAGGAGCTGCAAAGACAGGAAGAGAAATCAGTGTGAATTCAAATAACAGCGTTGCTTTCTCTTATTGGTAGAAT